AAAATATTGATTTTTGACTGGAAGTGGTTCAAATCATTTTTAAACACGCATTGATTAATACCCTCAGCTACCACTAACGTATAATCTACAAGAACCTAACAAGACCTATACCGATCTCTCGTACCCACAAATTTTAAAGAACGTCTCATTCCTACAAGTAAAGACAGTGATTATACGAATGTTACCCAAGTATTAGACGCTAACGGTTCCACAAAGGTGTTACCAGGGAGTTTGATGATACACCTTTCAAAATCAACAATTAATAGAAACTTACGAGCCAGTAAGATTACGATATTGCTATGCAAACCAACCTGGAGGCAAAACTGTCGTTGAAGAATCAGTGATAATCAATAAAAAAAATTCAGGTATACATATATAAAACAATATTCCTACATGCACTGATTGGTACCCGGTGCTTTGCCTAGGCTTGTGATATGTGACCAAGTTTTTATTGCATGAGCAGCTCGGTTTCGGGAGTTACGACGTCTCAAAATCCTCCAAATGCGTGATGGGCCATTAGGTTTACTCACTTTCAAGGTCAACTAAATATTTGCAATTAAGTGTGTAATATTCGTTAAGCGTACCGACAGTGTGCTTCACTTTGACTATATAAGAACCTTGAAGATGGGGTCGTTAGAGTTCCATTTTATTTTATATAACCTAGGACGATTTACACGTATACCGCTTTATATTTATAGTGCACAGAAAAAAAAGTGTGCAGAGATTTTAGGCAGCCGATGGGGTTAGCCTTTAAAAGGGTAAGCACGTACTGCTTGTGTGCGATCAAAGAGGTTATTCCGCGTATTATCGAAAATGTAAAATTCAAGATACGTTAGAGCGACGAGCTAAATTCACGAAGTTTAACTTACTATCTCAGTGGTGCTAAATTTTTATTGAAGAAAATTGGAGCAAGTCGCCATAATAATTTTTTTGTCAATCGCGTAATTAAGAGTTGCAGATAAACTTAACCGAAATACAAGTGCATGTGCTATGTGCCAATGACCTGTGTATATTTGCGAAAGGAAAAACCTAGATGAAACGTGAAACCGGGTGCAAAATGACGTGAAGCGCTTTTGGGCGAGGCAGAATCAAGATGATTCGGCGGCCAAAACAAAACGCATGCACTTTTGCCGGCTAAAACACCAGGAACCGAAACTTTTGGTAGGAGTAAGTGAAATACCTTATGCGAGCGATTTAAAATTTCATGGAATGACGCTACATACTAAACCGAAGAAACTCTCGGTGAATAAATTGGTGACGAAGTGTGAGTTACCTACAGCCTAAATTTTTCATTAACAATCGGAAAAATTTACGCAAGGGAACATTTTCCGATTCGAACACAGCGGACTTGGCTTTTTATTCCGGTGCATAATAACAATGTCGCGTATTTTTTTCCAAAATTGGAGTTGGTTTGTTGTAGGCTCCAATACGTATGGACATTTTTGCTTGGCATTCACTACTAAGTTAACGTTACCTTACCAGGTAACCATATTCTTAAAGGACTAAGTGGATTGATAAAGACACTAAACCTTCCCCATACTTCTTTTAATTATTTCAGGTATTTAGAATAAAGGCACCTGAAATAATTAAAAGAAGTATGGGGAAGGTTTAGTGTCTTTATCAATCCACTTAGTCAATATCACCCCGTTTTGAGTCGTTATAAGATGGATAGCTACCAATTTTTTCGACGCGACATTTTTCTAGAGACAGACCTATGCGAGCCATTTGTATCAAAAGGCTCTGTTTGGTATTTCATTCATTGATTACAATCAGATCCAAGCAAATGATTTTTGTTATTTTGTTTCAATGATTGGGAATTTTGTTTGCATTTCATTTCAGTATTACCATTCATTTTACTGTATTAAATTATTGTTTCGTATTCAAGGTGTGTTTATATTTTGAACAAGACCAATCTACATGCTTTTTACATTTGTGGTTAGTGGACAGTGGAATACTTCCGCATGGGGGGGGGGGGGCATATTTAATTTCGATAAAAAAACTTATTACGACTATATTACATAACCAAATTTAAGACTTAAATAAACGCAAATAGTTGTATGAATTAATCTTATAATATTTATTAGTTTGTTTACTTTTTGTGTTGCCATATTAAAAAATATAATATAATAATTTAAACAATAATAATAAATTTCTTAACAGTACCTCAAGAAAAATAGTACTTTGCGTTAAAAAAGTGACCCCACTTAGGCCTGTAGACCCACGCCACTGTAACGAATTTTTATTGACAGCATTTTTTGATAAGCCAATATACCCCGATCCTTTCGAAAAATGTTATTCGCGGTCAAAGTTAAAGTGTTATATTTATTTCGCTTTTTGGGGACGGACGGATAGAGTACAAACGGTTTGAACTTCCTTTCTTTGAACTTAATTTGCCTGTGATTTCAATTTTGTTCATGAATGGCTTCAAAATTATTTTTCAGAACTGCTTGCTTGATTCCAATCAAACACCAGATTACCGTAAATTTTGGATGTGTTGCTATAATCACAATGTGGACGTTGAGGTGTGGTCCAGATGCCTGAATTAATGACGAGACGAGTCGTTAATTGGTAGGCAAGTTTTCTTTTCAAATTATTTAATTATTCTGTTGGTTTCTTTACGTTTAAACGCAAAACGAGTATTGTGTTTCTAGTTGTATCCCAGTGGTTTGTTTTTCTTTACCAAAGAGTTCAATGTAGGGCAATTTATCGTTTATTTTTGTTACCAATTTTGCTTTTTTAAATCATTTAAGTGGAACATAAACATGCAAAACAAAGTCTCTTCAATTGCCAATAGGCTGGAATCTGGAAACAAAATAATTTCCACTAAATAACTTTTGGAAAGTCCCGAAATCCATAACGTTCAACCTTTTTGTTCATTAACCAGCGACGTCCTTTTTTACTACGGAACTTTATTTGTTTATTATTGCCCTCTCTTGTTCTGGGCCCTCAATAAACTTTCGCCCAATTACAGAGTGACCCGCATAATGTTTTCTAGAGGTGCCCCTGCAGAAGGTCTTAAGTTGTTCTATACTACAAATTCACATCTCTGCCACAGATGAAAAATTCTTACCACTTTACCACTGAGCTACACAGTCGGTATTTGTAGAAAAATAGACAGACGAGGTTGATTATTCACTCCATCCTTTCTGATACAGCCGTTTTGTTTTATGCAACCGCAGTTGTGACTATCTACAATGAAACTTTGTTGGGTTCTGGGCCGCCAAAAGTTGTCATTGTAATATAAAAAAATGACACCTTTATCTTAAATCGTTTAGAGAAATTGTTGGATTGCTGAATTCACGTAACTGGCATTCAGTGTATCAACTTGCATTTAAATTTCAATTAGGCTCATGTTTGGTGAGACGGAAGTTGTTACCTTTTAACCCGGAAAATAATCCCAGCTTTATTTGAGTAAGGTAACTGCACGCACTCGGTTTGGATACAAAAATTTCAACTTTTGTCTTTTTCCAATGGTCCGCGGAACGGTCAGCTATTCGCAAATTTTTTTCCGATCCGCGCAGACTTTTCTTGCAAGATCAAAACCCAATTAATTTCTTGAGCAGCGACGTGTTTTTTCGTTCAGATCAATACCAAATGTAAATTTATAAAAACTCACCCCTTCTACGGCGGATTGTTAATCCCAACAACCATGTTTAATTGTTTATTGGTTAATGTCATTTGTTACTACTAATCCCAGATGGTTTTCGGGTTATTAATCACGTTGCTATGAAACTCAAAATGGCAGATCTTGTGGTTTTTAAGACAGATTTTTATATCGTGCTGAGCTTAAAAATGTATTATTATATCTCTACTAAAAATGATGTAATTTGAGCCCTACCAGACACTTTTAAGAGGTATAGGTTAAAGAATAAATACTGTATAGAAAAATATCTACGTATAATTACACGGGAAAAAAATCTAAATAAATGCTACCGTCACAACAACCGTCTTTTGGTGCGCTTTGGGCAAAACTTGCGTCATCTTGCTTTCTAGATGATGATATCAATAATACTGATCGAGAAGCAGATTAGATTGAGGACGGTAACGTATGCGTGTAAGAGGGTCGGGTGATATAACTCACCCTTTCTGCCCTAGGCGCCTCACCCCACGTTTGCTAACATTAGTGGCGTCGATCTTGGACAACTCGACTTATTTATGATCAATTAGTTCTTGAAAGTTTACCTCAAAGCATGTTTATACGAGTACAAGCCTTGTATGGTGGAAGGACCGTTAGCGTGGACGGCAACTAAAACACATGGGTGATGTGTTTGGAAAATGTGGGTGAGAGGCTTCAGATAAAAGAACTAACTGAGTTAGGGCACTATTTAAGCGTTTTAGTTTTGAAGTATCGCAATTAAATTTACCACATAATGTAGATGTATTGACAAGTGTACGCAATTAGTTACATTCAGTTTGGATGTAGAAAATGAAAGTTTTATTGTGCTGTCGTACTTGTACTATGAAAGCTCCAAATTAGGCCACTATGTTTTCAATTTTTTAGACTGTTGAAGAGCAGCGTGTTTCCTTTCAATTATACATACTAATACGACACTGTATTTGGTCAATTTGTAATAGAGATTGATCTGCCGGGCGGGATTAATTTAAACCACACTCTAAATATAATGAGCTTCATTAATAAATCACCCCAGACCTTCCAAATGCGCCCATATGACTAAATTTGGTTAAATTCTAACCCAAATACAACTACAACCAACATTCCTTACGAATATACTGAAAACCGTGCCATTAATCATTAATTCCTGATATAAGTTGTATCCTAACGGTTTTCCAGCGACGCGCGTATGTTGACTTTGATGACCGTCTAAGTATCAGTAGGTGACCGGGATTGCACGGTATAAAAAAACCACTAACCGGTCAAGGTAGTCTACGTCATTGTTCATAAATGGCACGCTCCTAACTTTCATTAGCATGCATCGCCCATTTTAACTGCATTCTTTGCACGCTAAACCTACCGACCGTTTTTTTTATTCTGCACTCACCTGCTTAATTGTGCCGATATGAGATTGCTATGTGGTGTAAACTTCATCGGATTCTTGTACATGCTACATATTATTCGCTCCCTGCACGGTTCTTCCGTGAAACGAATGCCGGTCAAGATTTTGTCAATTTTTTCCAAAATCGGGCTGTAAAACTGATCGTAGGTCTTCTTCACCGCTATGTTTATACGGGGTGCTTGATTTTGAGATAACGGTTCTGCGATCGGTGGTGCTACTATAATCTGACTGGGTACCGCCACACCTGAAACGGCCCCAGTTGATGCACCCTGCGTGTAACGTCCGCCTTTTAGTTGCATGTGGTGAACCTGATGCTTTAATTTTTCTTGAATCTGTAGGTTTTGCTGGATTTGGTCTTGCAGTTGCTTGTTTTCCGCTTGCACTCGGTTGTGCTCCTGTTGCAGCCGTACCTTTAACTAAAGAAATATGTTAGACTTTCAAATCACGAGAACTTTTCAGTGGATGGATCACAGATATACACATTGGAAGTTATTATCATGGATCTATATTGTAAAGGTAAGTCATAAATCATTCATGAAAGGCGCGTTCCCGTTTGCATTGAATGCAGCATTGGTACTTATCTAAATTCCTAATGTACTGACAAATGCCGTAAAAAAATTGTGTCATTAGTTCATCACACTAAAGTCAATTTACTTATCAGCAGTAACTAAAGTAATTTTATCAGGAACATTCCTTTGCAATTTAACTTTCTCTTTAATTTTATTAGATTATCATATAGCGCGAATAAAAGCTATAATAATTATTGGTGAATGATACAATTGAAATGAAACTGGGACGGGCACAAGAAAAACATGTGTACTATGTATCTATTTACTTTCTTTACTGTTTAATACAAATATCAGGATGTGTGAGTTTACAGAACAAAGCGTCCGAAAAAATGACATATCACAGAGCATCAATGCGGAAAAAGTAGCATTTACCTACTCAATGCATGCACACGTGTTTGCCTTTCCTTATGCGATTATTTATACGATGTACTTATTCACTCGCGCAATTATACAAAAAGTACCTACTTTTTATTCATGCTTACCGTCGCACTGCTATTCAATGTTTACAAATAGCGTGTGGGATTTGCAAGTACGTAGGTATACACAATTTAAAGAACTTTTAAGTAAATAATAGGTAAGTTGATACTATACGAGTGTAGGTTATTAACGAGGCAATTATAAGCGATTTTGTCGGAAATTGATAACTGTGCGCAAATTTGGAGGATGGCTTTTTTGAATAAGGCATTAAATTTCAAATTAACTTAGTTTTTATCATGTGAACATTTGCAAAGTTACAAGGGTCTACCACTGGTAATTTACCATATTTTTCCAGAAAATCGTCAGCAGCATTACTCAAAGAATAGAGCCAACATTTTTGAAAGAGCAAAATGCTAGGCATAATGTTTTTCATTAGGTCAGTAAGTAAAAATTTGCAAATGTCAAAGTACTATTTTCATTTATGTTGTGTGTCGATAAATTATTCATTATTTATAGGGAGTTGTGGATAATTCATAAGAGACAGTAGGCTCCTTGGGGTCCAAATAGTTGGGTGAGGCCAGGACTTACTTAGGTATCATGCCTTCCGTACCTACAAACAAGGTACAATAAATTGTTTTCAGGTTGAATCATTTCTATTAGCATGAAAAAGTGAGACGCATTGTAAAATTTGAGCATTTTGTTACCGGACTCCCTATAATAAATCGCAATCACTGGTACAGGAGATACAGGAAAAAAGAACTATAAAAGAATGTGATGAAAACTTAAAGGAAATTTCAAATGAACATGAAGGGAAAAAATGAAACTCGCGTGAAATTGTGAGGACGTGAGAGTATACTCGAAAACAAGCTCAGGACCTTGATGAAATTGAGAGAAGAGAATTTTAGAACAAAAAATTAAGGAAGACACAGTGTGAAAATAAAGTAGACATGATGGAGAATTCGAGAGGCTTGACAAACAATTTTAGGGAAACTTTATGGAACGTTGAGAGGAATTTCATGAACATTTGGGATTAGCTGAAGAATTACTTGAAAGAAACCTAAGAGAATCCTGAGACCAATCTGAAAGCGTTGTATGAAAAATTGAAAGAGGTTTAAAATGTATTCCGAAGGAGAACTAAAGTAAACTTGAAGAGCTTTAAGAGGAACATAAGGACAGGTTGAAGGAAGCATAAGAGGGAACTGGAGGAAGAACCTAAGAGAAACAATGACTTTTAAAGACACTTCCATTTACTTAAAAGTCAGGAAAGTGACTCGAAAAATGTCATTTTACTATTTTCATATAGAACTCATTATAATAAAGTGACAAGCGGCAGGAAACGTAGTCTGCTCTCCCTCTGTCAGGGAAACTAAAACTTACAATAGCTTGAAATGAACAAGAAAATACTTTGAGAAGAGCTTAAGTAAAACTATTACTTAGATGAATGAATTTTGAGGAACACTGAGGAAAAGTTGACAAAAGCATGAGCTATCCGTGAGTGGAACTTGAAGTGAAGTTTAATGGAGCCTGAGAAATTGATATTACAATTTGAACGATACTTACGATGAAACTGACAGAAGCTTAAGGTAAAAGGAGAACGCTTTAGGAGCACTTAAAAAATATGGTTGGGTGTTGAGTTGATTTTAGGGGGTCCTCAACATGCTTTCGCCCAATTACAGAGTAATCCGCATAAAGGAACCATTAACAGTGCCGAGAGCCCTTAAATTTCTAGTCCATCGTGGAGAAACGTTTCAGACAAATTCGGATTTGTGAAAAATTGTGAGTTACCTGCAACTTTCAACGTTTTCGAATAAACGAATTACAATGGATTGCGGGACGACAAAAAACGTTTTAGTAGCCCGGTTCGTAACAAGGTTTTATTTACAATGACAAAATTTACGCGAAGCACCATTTTCAAATCAAAGAACCGACTTTTTACTCAAAAATTGTAAGTAAATAAACTGACAACTCATTGTGATAAGCAAAGAAGTGTTTTTTCAGGTCGCCAAATGTAATGCTTGGTAAAAACAAAGGGCCCTAAAGTTTTTGACAGCACTTTGGCGTCGCGATTCATACGAATTTTCTTCCACCGAACCTTGCATTTATAACGAAGATAACGTTACCAGGATCAACTGTATCATCGTAGCAACCATTTTTCATATTTCTAAACGAAGCGGCACTTTCCAAGGAGAGATAAGACCAATTTGTTACCAAAACATAATATTACTAACACCAATAACTGTAAGTTATTTAAATTTTTTTGGTTTTCCTTAACAATTTATTGTAAGTAAAAATTAAACTTCTGGATTCCGCACTGTACATACAATTGTTTTCTTAAGTGTTCCCTTTACGCCCTTTGACATATGACCATACCAATTTTTATACACATAGGAGACCAGTTCGTTAACGAGCTTTGGCACAGTAATGACCATCAAAGTGGCACCAATTGATACAAATTTAATTCGGTAAGACGTGGTTACCTAGCGCCTGCTAAGGCAGCTGTATTATACCAGGGGTGCGGAAAAGCGCGCGGCCCACACAAAAGAGACTTCGTTTTATCTGTTACATCACAAGATCCAAAACAGCAAAGGACAATGATTCCATTAAAAAAACCTAAAAGAGCATAGGACATCACAATGATCCCAATAAAAAACGTAAGAGCCCATCCCATTTAAAAATAACAAAAAGAACAGAGAACAATCATCCGATTAAAAAAACCAAAAGAGTAAAGGACAAAGATCCCACCCATCCCAATGATCAGCAATTACCCATTAAAAAAACAAAAGAGCAGAGGACAATCATCCAATGAAAAATAGCCAAGATAGAAGAGCACAAAGATCCAACAGAGCAGGGGACAAGAATCCTAACCATCGCAAATAATCCCATTTAAAAAAATAAATTAAAAACCAAACGAGCAGTGGACAATGATCCCATAAAAAAAACAAAACAGAAAGAGACAAAAGATCCCATCCATCACAAATAGTTTTATTAAAAAATATTTAAAACCAAAAGGGCAGGGGACAATGATCCAGCCTCAAAAAACAAACACCAAAAAAGCAGGAGACAAAGATCCCACCCGTCCCATTTTGTCCCATTTCGAAGAAAACCTAAAAGAGCAGGATTCAAAGATCCCAATCATCCCAAATAATCCTATTTAAAAAAAAATAAAAAAAAACCCAAAAGGAGCAGGGGACAATGATCCTATTAAAAAAAACAAAATAAGTGTAAGAACGGCTTTTTAGTAGTAACCCTAACGGGACGCAAACACACCCCTGGCCGTAAAATTCGGCGTAATCCTACAGTAGAGCATCAGAAGTATTAGTGAGTTTGGCGTAATAGCACTTTAGGATGTCATCTCCAAATCTCCATTTAAATAGCGGCTTCTCTTGTTCTTAAAATACCAACCCTTCCCGTTTCCCGGCATTACCCAAGGGACAAAGTTTCCACGCATCAGAAATAGTCTCGTCTAAAAAAAAAATGAAAAAAACCAAAAGAGCAGGGTATCATGATCGCATTTCAAAAAACAAAAACCAAAAGGGCAGGGGACAAAGATTCCAGCCTTCCCAAGAGAAACCAAATGCGCAGGAGACCATCATTCCATAAAAAAAAAGAGCACCCATCGCAAAGCAGGGGACAATAATCCTATTAAAAAACAATAAAGTGGAGGAGAAAGATCTTACCTATCCCAATGATACCATTAAAAAAAGATCCCACCCGTTCCAAATAGTCCGATTAAAAAAAAATAATAATAAACAAAAGAGTAGGGGCAATGCTCCCATTTCATAAAATAAAAAAAATTTTGGGACAAAGATCCCAATTAGTCCCATTTTTTTAAAAAAACCAAAAGAGCAGGCAACCTAACCACTCCAAAAAATTCCATTAAGAAAATGAAAAGCCCAAAAGAGCAGAAGAAAATGATCCCATTAAAAAATTTGCTGTGGAGAGCACAGCTACCATCCACATATTTTCTTTTATGTCTAAGAACATTTGCATTTAATTTGGTTCCAATCTGTTCAGCCGTTTAGCCGGAAATGAGAGCTTGACACACTTGCCGTTTAGCCTGAAAGTATAGACAAACCGACATAATTGAGATTTTGTTTTATTCGGATTCTTGGTGTTTCAAAACACGTATTCCCGTCAAAAAAGTGGGAGGGGGGGTTCACCCCAATGCAATAAATAAATAAATAAAAATAACCAAAAGAGTAAGAGACAATAATCCCATTTCATAAAATTAAAAAAATAAAAAAATCAAAAGAGCGGGGGACAATGATCCGCGTACAAATCGGTCGCGGTTCAAGCAAGCGAACGGAAGCACAGGACAGAGACATGCATATGTCTAAGGAAAGTCTACCGTAAAGATCAAGAAAAAATAGAAACAATGCTTATGCTGCTCCCTTGAAGAAAATCCTTAAGACTACAGCATACACGACAAGTCAAAATCATGGTAAAGAACGGAACAAGAAAAAAATCGATAAATCAAAAGAAGAAGAAAACTTCGCGATCATACAAAAAAATTAGAAAAAGTGCTGCACAAAACATGATAACATCTGAAAAAATAGAATACAGTGGAAGATAACTAACGCGGAATAGTTATTTACATAAAAGTCAGGAAAATGACACGTTACTGGCGAGGAAATATTGAAGTACAAGGCCCCTTTGGGGCCGAGTACTTTAATTTCCGAGTCAAGTAATGTCATTTTACTGACGAGTTTTGTATTAAATTTTACCCGAAATCGTATTTTAACATAAAATTTCAATTTTTATGTATGGAACTTTTGATTAATGTCAATCTGTCAGTGATGACAGGAGTCATTATAGACGTTTAGCAATCTGACAAGTGCGGCCGGTAAAGTGACAGGCGGCAGGAAAAGTAGACTGGTCTGCCTCCGTCATGGAAACTAACACTTTCCTGACATAAAGTAGGCATGAAAATGAAGGTTTCATGACGATTTTGGGTAAAATATATGATTTAGTCAAAGAAATACGATGGAAAGGAAATATGCCAGAAAGTTCGAGGAATGCTGTTCTACTACTCCGGTGCTCAACGTAACATATGAAGTGTTGCGTTATACTCGTATTTGAAAATTAAATTTGAAAAGGTGATTGAACCCCATTAAGGCGAATAACAAGCTGGATTTCGAAACGGAAGATCCACAACAATTAATGAAGTTTTTATACTGATATAGATATTGCTTGCTATATTATTAGGAATATTAAATTCCTCTTGTCATATTTTTCGTTCATTTGTGGTGAGCTTTTAACACTGTCAAAATCACTAGTTATCACCGCTCGGAAGGACTTGTGCTTATCAAACTTACTAAGTAATAACATATAGACAGAAACGGCCTTAAGGATGGGGCAGCGATTAAAACATGGTAGGAAAAATAATAGGAAAGAAAGTAATGGAAATAGAACACAAAAAAAAGGTTTATTTAGCTGCAGAATGGAATTTTTGTGACAAAGGAAAAGAGTTGGACTGGATGTTATTAAAGGGGACGAAACAATCAATTATACCAGATTGATGAAGAGCATCAGGAGGTTACAAAAAAGACGACTGCAATGGTTTGGTCATTTTGAGAGAATGCATGACAGTGAATCATATTGCGTAGAAACAACCATTTCGAACAAAAAAGACGGGCTGACCAAGAATCCGATGGAGACAGGATGGTGTCAGAAGAAATAAGAAGAAATTATCTGATCGAGATCGAACCAGCAGACATAATACTTACTTGTAAGTTGTAAGTGGGCCAAAACTGCAAATATAGAAAGAGCAAGATAAACTCGTGTGAAGTAGACTTAAAATTTGCAACATAATTTCATTTTTGACACTGAACTGAGATCATTCAGCTTCGCTATACAAACAATCTTTGGTTTTGAAAGAAAATACTTATACTGGAATCCATGTAATTAGTTTTCTACATACACCAATGTGAAGTGAAGTTGGTTGTTGGTAAAAACCACCATTAGTCCTCCCAATGACGTGATCAACTATTTTATTACGATCCACCCAAATAACTTTGGCCATTAGTTGCTTTTTCATGGTTCTCAGTTCTCATGCAAGCGCATCGCTTAATAGCACATTTTAGTTCACCTTTACCCGAATCTACCCAATGCAGCACTCCGTCCATTAGAGATACAATTTCTTCTTGTGCCCATTACAGCGATTGCAATCAATCAGAAAATTACTGCATCCAACGACCTCATTTAAATAAAACTACTCAATGAACAATGTCGAAGTGACAAATGATTTAATACTAGCTTAATGAATAGTTTTGTTGCAATTCACAACATTCAAAATACGCAAATAAATAATATTCACAATGCAACGAATATGTAGGACAATAAACTTTCCATGGCTGCAGTGTAAAAAAAACGAATTGGAAACAATTTGCTGTTATAATTTCACAGACTATTATTACAGATTACACACACTAAACTTACCACTGTTTCTCTTTCCGCCTTTGAAGTTAACGCCTCTATCTCCGCAGGTGTTAATGGGCTGTTCATTTGCGGTTTTTTGACTCGATTTGATGTCCAACTGTGTACCTGATTTTGATCGCCAAGAACTGTACGCGGTGGATCGGTTTTACGATGAAGAAAACTGCAAAAAAAAGAATTTAAATAGTTTTATTGATTTACTAATAATGATCACGTTGCATACAACTTTTTACACGATTCCGCCTTTGACGCGTCTACTTTCTCCTGATAAGTTGCAATTACGATATGCAAACTGTGTACAAATATAGGGCAATATTTAAAGTGTGTTAATCTGCGCTAATTGCTTAAAGAGCCTGACTCAATTATTCTCCCTAATTGTTTAACGAAGTTACCATTTCAATTAAAACATGCGTTATTAAACGTGTTCAAACAGTTATATTGCCTACAATGTTAAAAACGAGTAGTTAAGTTGCGTAATTGCATCTCGTGTTACCTATTGTTTAACGTCTTTATTCCGGTTCTATGATGATTTCGGGTTTTATTTACAAATAAACATTTATAACCTGTGCAAAAATCTGAAAGAGGTTCCTAGCTGTATCGAAAGTAAAATATGTAAATACTAATGTACCTACATACTGTTTCCTTGTACTTGCAATAGCTGAAAAGCAAAAAGTTATAGAACTTTTGCTAGTTAGTCTGTTCTGTGCAGACAAGGAAATATAAAAAGTTAGAAAATAATATGATTGGTCGGTGATGGAAGAAACCACTCGTGTTTTCTTCTGAAGGTAAGGAAGTAAAATATTATTATGATTATTAATTTGTTATGCATAAGAATAAAATGATGGACGACGTCTTACTTCTATGGCTATTCCTCCAAATGGTGGATGGAGAAGACGGGAAGATCTTGGGCAACGCAAAATTTTTGTTTGTTTTGCAACGTTGCACAACGTTTCAGGCCGGACGGTGTGAGTCGCTACAATTTGATTCTGAGGGAAACGTGTTTCAACGTCTCGTAACGTTGCGAAACAAAATGTTGCGGTCGGTAAAATAGTTGATATGGTAAATAAGGTTAGGGCGCAATATGTGGGTTCTCGACAAAATAACTAATCCAATTAATATAATTCAAGGAATGTGAAGTTTTGCCAACTACAACGACAATAGAGTATTCCTTCTTTCTTTTCTAAACACCTGTTAATTCGGAAAGGTAACAAACTCAATTGAATTCCTAAATTTAAAAAAAAATCTGGCTAGGAAAGGATAACCTTATTTGTGTTGAATATTTGTTTTTTATCGGCAAATTGTGAGAGCAATAGACTAAATATTTGAATAAAGATATGCCCTATGTTTTAACAAAATAAGTGACCATGGTGCGAAACGTAAGGCAATCTCAAATTTGGGGGGAATCATGGTATTCCACTATTCTCCCAGTTCTCTGTCTCCTTATTCGGCCAATGCGTGGCCAATGTTCAATTTGTCTCATTCTTATGTCATAGTTTCATTCGTTGACTTTATATCATAAAGACATTAGCCAAGGACACCGGTAATAGACAGTAGCCCAGGCACTTTAGACAAAAAAAATGCCCTAAATTAGACAAAATTAGTAACTAGCTGATTTTTGGTGGGGTGTTAGTATATGATAAGGTAAGTATTTTCTGAAAGTTCCCCTTACTTCCTCCGCTTGCTTCACCCGGTACAGCGATAGAAAGAGTCTGTGACCGGAAAGTAATGAAATCGCTATTGTGCTCCATCTATGGCACCGATTTTGGTGGTTGTGGTCTTAAATTTTTCAAAATGACAGTGGTTGTGCTAAATAATAACCACCACAATAATCCATAACATTTTGAGGTGTTTTAGGTATTTGGAATTTTATGTAAATTTTAGCAATTTTTTAACTACAAATCCAATAAATTATTAAAACGCTTTCAAAGCGCCTAAAATGAAGAACTTTCTTACAATTTCGCATCTTATCATCCTGCAGAGGATGCGATAGATGCATTGGCGTGGCGCAATCTCCAATACAGCGGGTAAACTTGGAAGGATAAGCTCGGGCGCAAGCACAATGTCTATCACACTGGCCTTTACAATCATATGTAGGTATAATTAAATGAAAAAGCTCGTCAGGGGCTTGGTGCCGGGGTGACTTGCTCGTGAGATATTCGGAATCCCCATTCTGTGGGTGTTAGTGGTTACCAAGCCAATGTTGTACCCCTGGTTGTACCTGAAGATACACGCGGTGAGAATGAAGAAAAGAATTGTTAGCCGTGGCGTCGGTTGGAGGACGAATGGCCAAGTCGAATTCTGATGAAACTTTCTGGTGAGCGACACCGTATATCGAAACTAGTTTTTTTGTTCAACAATTTCCAAACTGTTTTCTTTCCTTTTCCGAATCAAGACGTGGCCTTGTCGAATCCCGACGTCGCGTCGCATGTAATAAGAACAAAAGTCTCTTTTGTGCGGTTTAACGTCTTGTATGGTAAAAACCTTAATTTTTTAGTAGTTGGTTTAACGAAAAACATTTTCGAAGAACACTCCGCTTAAATGATCATAAGCGCGAATAAATCCGCATCCATCGCAACTACGGCAACTTGGTTCTAAAGTGATCGCCTCGATAACGACCGTCACAATCAAGGTGTCAACGTCTTGCTTTACCTGCATGTCCACACAGCGAGATCTTGTGCTTTCCTCATATGCGTTCGTGCTCGTTGATGAGTCATACCCGTCACATACTACCACTGTGGACTGACCTGACCATGGTATGTGAGTATGTATTGGACATACGAATGGCAAATATCCCGATTAGCTAGGTCGCGGCCAAACTCCTTTCCTGAGAAGGAATCCTACGTCGACAACGTATTGCACTTTGTAGGTCGGTGGACTATCAGTGTATGGAGCATAATTCTCTATAGTTTCCTCTAACACTGACTTTGTTGTTTTCCTCTTGTAAGGCCCGTCAAACAACGAGGGTGCGGCTTCGGAGCGAGTTCATACGAGATATTCCTTATAGTCCTCTGGACATTTCGACATGCAAATGATTCTCATAAAAAGCTGATAAGGGTCTACACGTGTCTCCTTGCCTCTGATTTTTTTTACGACGCGATGTTCAGTGGTTTACCTCGGTTTTACCACCGGCAGGCAGGGAGGTATTTCAGTGGGGTCAAGACCCCCCACTCCTTTGACGGAAATACACGTTTTGAAGCACCAGGATCCAGGAATCAATCATCAAACAAAATCTCAATGATGTCGGTCTATCGATCTGTCGGTCCGTCTACAGGTAGGTACTCTCATTTCCGGCTAAACGGCTGAACCGAATTGGACTCAAATTTGGTACACATAATTCTTAGACATAAATAGGTAGAATTGCGCATACGCAGGTGTGCGAGTTGTATCTGTGCTAGACACTGCAATTTTTTTATGTTTCATTGTAACGTCACAAAAATTACCAAACATTTTAAAGAAAACAGTTTAAAATGCCATGAATTGTTGTAGTGGTTATTCTTTAGCATATCCACTACTATTCTGAACAATTTAAGTCCACAACCACCAAAACTGTGCCGGAGATGGAGCGTAATAGCGATATTAATATATTCGCGCCACTTAAGTCTTTTTTATCGCTCTACCGGGTGAAGCAAGCGGAGGAAGTGAGGCGAACTTTCAGAAAATACATACTTACCTTATCACACACTAACAACTCACCAAAAATCAGCTAGTTACTAATTTTGTCTATTTTTTATCCTAAAGTGCCTGGGCTACAGTCTGTTATTAGAAAAGTGGAATCCAAACTTCAAAGATGAACAAGATGAATTTTCAAAACAAATTACATTAAGTACCATCCACTTCATGAATCATATATTTTTTTACTGAAATTTCATGTGTTGACGGAGTGATTAAGGACATATTACAGGGAGATTATAATAAAGTTGCGTAAGCTTGAGCTCATTTAACAATCACATGGTGGTACTCATCTCGTTACTTGTAGCATGACATGATATTAGTAATACGAGCACTTCTAGCGATATGTAACCAAAAACATGCCAAACATGATTTCAATCACTCACTCAATACGACAATTTGTCAAAGGTAAACAAAGCACTCGTATTAATTACTATTGGTTTGTCTATAAGTAATCCTGAAAACGAACAAATAAGAAAATTGATAGGTCATCATCATCATCATTAAATCATTTACGTGCTACCGGTACCATGCATTTTACGAAATCTAAGAATACCTAATACGGATTTTATGATTTAGAAAACAAGACAAACATTAAGACTTTATGTTATGGAAGGTCAGGATTTTACACAAAATAAAAACTTGAAGCAGCAATGAAAAAGGTTGCTCGAATCAAAATTAAAATTGTGGACGTTAAAAAAATACAGCGTCATCCGATGTAAAATAAATTCGGCCAATGGGGGTGCAATGTCATACTACAGTGCACCCATTTAAAAAATGTCGCTATTTGCAAATCTATATTGCAAATATATTGAAATTATAAAACCCGCTGAGTAGTTGCTCATCGTAAAACCGCGTTTTGCTGATTCCCAACAATTAGATTCTTAGAAAGTTACTAGACTAAAATTCCCAACAAGGCCTTAATAGTTCTAAACGGTAACCTATACTTGGAGAGCTCAAAACTTCAGTGAGTTTTTCAGTTTCTTCGACGAAAGTGCTACAACACATAACTGTTTTATTTAGGAACCTGTCTAGAACTGACAAAATGCAATTAGAGCTACCAACAAAGACTGGCACCTAATTCCTTAGACTGTAATTCTTTAAAGTACAAAGTATGATCTTTGCTATGAGTATGAACAAAGGAACATTTTGATTTTTTAGGAATGGGGTTGGGTGGTGTTTGAAGTTAACACTGCGCGCTTTTGTGCTTGTAAGTGAAAAACTAAAATTCAAAAACTTCCTTTAAAAATGTTCTTGCACGTAGAACCTCAAATCTCCACAAAATTTAAATTTTTGAAAACTTATACTTCTTGCTATTTCTAAATGATCGTGATTTGTTTCAAATTGTATATACAGGGTCGCTGATAAGTTTGGATACGATCGATTATCGGGGAAAATATACAAGATATCGAAAATGTTTTGGTTCTTCAATTCTTATACATGGTATGTAAATGACATTTTGAATGTAACACCCTTCTCTCAATTTTAAGAAAATTTGTAAGAAGCATAATGTACCTAAATTCCATCGTTTTCCGGTTATCGAATTTTAGAAATTAACGCTATTTTTTTTAATTTATCGAATGCGGATAAAGAACAATAATTATTGAAACCACGAAGTTCTTCTGAAATTATTTTGTGGTTCTGAAATGAGCCGATTGTGATCCTAGTTTATACTCGTAAGATGCTCAGTGTTGCTTATTAATCTCCTGACAATAATGAATTGAATACTCCACACTCCACTCCACAAAAAAAAACTCAAGCGGCGTTATATCGGGAGACCTAGCTAGTCATTCAATAGGTCGCCTGCGCTTTATCCCTCTGCTAGGAAAAGTCGGATTCAGATATTTCCGTTCTTCAATTCCAAAACGAGGGTCGAGGATAATCGTCTAACTTCGGGAACAATAGATTTTTGCAAAAGTGCCAAATATTTATTTATTTATTTTTACCTTTATTTTTGAGTGGGCGGTGTTTCAGCCAAGGCTGCTCTACCAACCCAACCCACTATACATTTACTAACCCGAATTCGAACCAAAGACCCTTCGAATTTAAATTTGTGTCGGTTCACTTGTCCATACAAACAAAATGTACATTCGTCGAAAAACGAAATGTGGGTGGCAAAGTTGAAACTTTGGCACAACTTCTCCGTAATAACTTCATAGATTCTGCGATCGAAATCGTCTTCATTCAGTTCTTGCAATAGATGAAGTTTTCTTGCTTCGAAATCTTTTGAATTGCAGATCGACTCATATTATAAGGCCAAATTATTGTCTCGAATGTTGCGGATTCTCGGCCTCCACCACATTTAATACTACATACAGAGTTTGGTTTTGAGCATTTTAGTTTAGTTATTAATTCTTAAATAATTAGGTACATTCTGCTTCTTACAAATTTTGCTAAACAATTAATAAATATGAAATAATGTACATGGTGTTTGTTCCATTTAAACATTTTAGCGTGCCACGGCTTTATGACCAACCATGTACAATTAAAATTATTACTGCATAGTAGATATTTAAGAACCCCAAAACTTTTGTATGGAGCTTTTTTCGATATCTTCTATATTTTCTCGATAATAGACCATTTCTAGACCATTTTCACCACTCGGTCTCTAAATTGTAAAATATCATTTGTACGGCTTCATAAAAATAGTAGCGCGGTTAAAAATGCGTGGGCTTTGAGATAGTGCAGGAGAATCGCGAGAATCAGTTCCTTTTCTACGGAAAAGTAGAAGTTCGTGATTGGTTGAAAGGTACGGCGAAAGCTACCGAAGCCCTGCGGGTGGAGACGAAGTTTCCTGTTTCGTTGGACCTTTTTCGCGAGAAGTTTGAATGGCGGAAGAATCTTTTAGAAGAGCAAAAGTTAGTAAAAGCACAGCGGCGAATTAAGCATAAAAGCATTTGAAGTAAGTTAATAGTAACTGCGGCGACTCAACTACCAGGAAGTTCATTACCGTAAGCGCATTGTACAAAATTGTATTTGAAAATGATTGAGCTGGCAAATTAATTTTGGTTCTACAATTGTCCTACACATAATTGAAATAAAATTGTACGAATACCGATACGAATGCATAGCATGAGGAACTTTGAACTAATGTAAATCCAGTAAAGAAAATTCGTCTACATAATGTACATAGTTAAATGATTTCAATTTTAATTATTATAATTTGGATCAATCGACGTGTGGAGGTACCTTTAGTTTGTATTAGTAGTTTAGTATTTTAGTTTCCCGTGCGATGCTTTCGGCGTATTTCCGAATTTGTAACGGGAGCATTAGGTTTGGATTCAAAAGTGCTCGATATTCTCGGATAAATAAGTAAAATGGGAACATATCCATATGTTGTATAGGCTTTTGACGTTCTTTAATTACTTTTGGTTCAAGATTGCGGGAGTACCTTTTTGTGAAGCGTTAGTACAACACACAGAATCAGTCCCGCTACGTTTGTTTCTAAGATACAGGATGAAATCGAAAAGTTTCTCTTTTTGGGAGGTTATTACATATCTTACTACCCATGTAAGATAGAGATATTTTTTTACATAAGATCCAGTTGCGTTTTTCTGGGACTATTTTGGTATTTTTGCCACGCCTTGTATATCTTAACGTCAGTTTTTTTTTTCTATTTCCTGATAGCATTGATGTATCACAACCTATCTGTTTATATACCTAATTATATAATAAGTATATCATGTTTTCATATTTTTGACCGTTAACCATTTTTATTAATTGGCATCTCCATTAATCCATAGACTACTATTTAAAAACCATAAAAAATAAGGTCTTTATTTTTGTATCATGGCTGAAATTAAAAAAATATAGATTGTGATACAACAATGTTATCAACAAAAAGAATGCAAAAAAACACGTTAAGATATACAGGGTGTTGCATTTAACAAATACTAACTTTGGATCAAATCCTAAAACAGGTGGTCAAACAATTTGTTTGACAACTGGATCCTACGTAAAAATATCTATATCAAGCAGGGTAGGGTAGGTAGTAAGATTTATGACACATTACCAAAAGTCTTCCAGAAACGAATAATAGTTCTGTTAATGGCATTAAAAGTTCCACAAAAAAGTGCCACAGGGTCGTGGAAACCGAAGTCTCTATCTAAACAAAAACCGCTGAGATACACAGCGGTCTCAACCAAAATAGAACACACGGTACATAATTTTTTGCATGCTCTAAGAATTTTTTTAACCTTTGACACTGGCCCATGGGTGTTTCTCTAACTTGTGGCTCATCTGTGGACCAAATTTGAACTTTATGTTAAAGAGTTGTTCAGTTATCTTGCAAACGGTCCGAAAAATGGATGGAGGGAACGTACTTTCAGATTTTTTAACTTGATAAAGTAGATGCTGGCAATACTCGCACTCTTTAATAACTGAACAAATACTGAAGAACGTCAAAAGGCTAAAAGGTAATCCTTGTGAAATATCAGGTATGTTGTATGAAAAAATACCAGGTTTTTGATCTCTCATTCTGGTGATTCTTTGGTAGTCATAAAGATTGTATTTTGTGATTAATGAACTAAGAGTACGAGTATTTGACGTCAATGTATAATCTGTATCTTTTGCATATGACGAGGTTTCCAAAAATATGTGATAGTGGATAGATAAAAACAGGAGATGATTGTTCAGCAAAATGCCAGTTAAATAAGTAAACAAAAAAATGCTTATTTTCATTTTCCTAGCATTTCTCTTTCCAATTTAATAAAACATTGAGCCCTGTATTCGATCCCTTATGTAGATATCGTTCTCATAATGTATAGGTAACTATTTCCTTTTCAAATTAGTTTCATTTCGTTGCTATCCATTATACCTACTACAAAAATCACTACACTTTGCACCTGCTTTTCCATATGGATCTACCTATATAATTAAAGGTGACACTTACAGCAAAGTTACACTTTGCATTTAGTACCTAGTAGTAAAAAAGGGGACGTAGTAAAAATAAATCTTATTAATTCCTCTCTCTTCGTCCTCGATAATATTACAAATCGGCGGTTTTTTTTTGTTTTGGGATTTTATTACCGACGATTGTAGTAAATTTTCGCATCATTTCGGCAATAACATTAATTTTATGCTAAACAACGTAATTAGAGGCAATAATAAGGTTCTCGAAGGCGCGTAATTAAATGAAATATAATTGGACTCCTTTCTTTTAACCGATTAACCTAAAAATCAGCTTCTATGCAATAAAAGATTTGGAGAAGATCGTCCTGCGTAGTGTCAGATAACCACGTGGGTGTTTTAATATGCACTCGTATGCCATAAGCGGACTGAGCCGGTGAGAAATCTACACACTAAGAATCAACGTACCCTTCTGATATATCCGGTCCGTGTCCATAGTACTCAAAGCCAATGTCGTAAGACTGATGGGGATCATGTGGCGGATGATGCTCCGTGGGAAGGTGATGGTGAAGCGGTGGTACGTGATGAAGATGAGATATTTGATGATGGTGGTGATGGAACTTCGTTAAGCTATTTGTATGGTCAACATACGGGCAAAGCTTGAATAGGTGAGATAGAAATGGAAAGAAGAATAATAGAATTTTAACCAACACTTTCTTTGCAACCGCTACACCGGCCACCAAAGGAAGGAAGAATAAGAATTTGATAAGAAGCAACGCGATCACCAACACGATGGCTAGTAGGGCATGCATCAGTTTTTCGCCAATGAATTTTTCTGAAATGAGTAATGCGTTAGTCACAATTTACATACATAGTGATTGCATACTTATTTTCTTAAAGAAGATCCTCGGACTTCCCAGCTCTTTCCTTACAACCTTTGGGATTAACTCAAGTTTAGTAATCAAACCGGACCCGTCTACACTTCTCGGCGATATTTCGAGAGTTGACCCTTCGAACATCAGTTCGGGCATTTGAATTTGCACATTGTGGGTCAATATGAACCGTAATACTTTATTTCCGATTTCTTCGGCACGATCGCGTCTCGCAAGGGTAACATTGTCACCATCGAAACTTGCATTGTTTTTCGTAAATGTGACGAACCCGTTTAATTCGTAATTGTCTGCACGATCTAAAACATCATTGAGGTGGTCGTAAAGTGTCTTTTGTATACAAGTAATCGAAGGCACTTTGCAGTTACGCATTAGCGAATCAAACAGTCGGTCGTCGCTCGAAAATTTGGACCGCATTTCCGGAATTCCTTCCTCAGATGCATTCTTTAACGAGCACACTAACCGTACGCTTATAAAATATACTAGGAGGACACCTCCCAGACGCTGGCGAGGCCACCAACGCATGTCTTTTCACTTGGGTATAATACTCGTTCATCTATTATTTAAAACACAGCACCAAACAGCATTTGCTCAACTGAAACATCTCGCAAACGCTCGACTCGAATATAAGAAACTGGACCGCGTATTCAGGGCATGCACACCGACGTTCTTCAGATGGTTAACACCACGTGAATGTGAGACTAAAACCAACACCGAGTTATCATAAGATGACACACTTATTGAACGGTGAATACCCCTACCCATTTACCTTTTTTACTAACGCATAAATCTTGAATTTTAGTTGAAATATGGTTCATTTTTGATGGCTTTATATTAAAATTTGCGTTTTTATTTTTTAAACTACCTAAATTAGCCATCAATGTTCTTGAGATAAGTGAGCACTTAAGATTGTTGTTGCTGCTGAATAATTGTACACTCTAATTCACCCACGGTGTTTGCGGCCCAAAATGTGTTATATGGTGCTCAATTTTACATAGTGGGATTTACGTAAATTATTGTGCTTTAAATCAGTTAATGATATACTCTTCGATGCGTTTTACAGCATTTTTATGCTTTTTACTAGTCTTCACAAACGGATGACGAGGAGAGAGTTGGTTAATTCAAGACAATAATAACGTTCTTCGCGTAATTCCTGTACAACGCTTTTCATTTCGGTATTATATACCTATCATAACATTTTACTTGTGTAGTGTTGTTTTGTACCCTATGGTCAACGTTGGTAACGGATATTTCCTTCTCGGTACCTTTTTGTTTGATATTCAAAAATTACCTTGTGTTGTTAGAGCTGCAATTTTTTATCATTGAAAAAGTTATGACCCAGGACAGACCGAGAAATGGCGAAAGCACCAACTAAACTGTGAGGACGTTCGATGGTGCGAAATAAATATACAGGAACAAGAATATTCCAATTGTTTCTAATTCGCTTTGATTCAGTGAAAGAATGTATTTCCTTGATGGCATCCCGTGATCGCCTTAACTGCTGATGTCAGTTGAATCCTTGCCCCTCAAAGGGTGCTATTTTCTCTTCTCATTTTCTTAAGAATTAATTTTGGTCATTTTGATTCATAGAGAAGCTACTTTTTAAAGAGTTTCTAAAATTATATTCTCTTTTTTTCTCTTCACGAGGGTACGATATTGGGTTATCCTTTCTGATTTTGTAAACATTTTTCTAAAACTCCTACCCCCACAGGTGTGAAAAAATTCTGTTGTCGAATATGCAATTAGTTTTTGAAAATGAATTGACTGGAATTCTTGGCTGGAGTGAAAGTGATCCGAATTTCAAGAAATTTCCTGTGCATGGTCCTTGGGTATTTAATAAAAAAATTGTAAAACAATTTTTCAATACGAACTTTGAAACAGAAGGTATGCGCATCAAAATGTTGCTACTTCGAGAAAGGCATTAGTGCGTATGTAATTGGAAATGAGAAAAGCTAATAGATACCAGATGCTTATGTCTCTAATAATGGTACGGAAGATGATTATGGATTTAATTAATTGAAACAGACAATATTGATTTAACCACAACCATCTATATTTACAAGCCGTGCTGAGAGTTATGGCAACACTGCAGCGAGGGCCGATTTCCTAATTCAACTTGGCAGATTTCAGGTGTATTTTAAATGTGTTTTGGGTATAATATTCCTATTTACCTGTTTTAACACAGTGAAATTGCGACTATTTGCGTTACTCCGTATTGAATCAACAGAAATTATTATTCAGGTAAGTTGCTAAACGAAATATATCGATTTGTTGTCATAATATATCAGGTTACTCATTACTAGACACTTTACAAGCGCTTGTAACAAGTAACAAGTACATGTACAAGCTCAAACATGACCTCCACACTACGTGATTGCCCGATCGATTTTCTGAAGGAACCTTCTGACTTATTCCCAGGAGTTCACGGCACGTTAATTTGAAGTCTACGGGGCTCCCCTCTTTAAAAGCTTCCTATCTACACCCACTGGAATAGCGACCAGTTCACAGTCTGCCATTCCGAATGACACCTGGAAGTCGTTCATAAAACCTCGCTGATGCACCGCGACCTTACCCCCCTTTTGCTGAAATTAAGTGCCTAAGCGTGTGCTTCACCTCAACCTCTTTCGACAGAAGTTCACCAATTTCGGAGATCTCGATGGAAAACACATTATAATGCACAGTTACTAATTTACAGTGTTCTGAATTTTAAAGTCAAATAAAAATGTTATCATCCATTTTTGTAAATGAATAAAGCCTAGCGATTAACAAACAGCACCCACCACCCAAATCAGAATTAAGACCTTAATGACAAGTATCAGCGATCAAATTTCTATTTGATCAAATGCGATCAAAAGAACACATCCTAGAATGCATCAGTATAAACAAGGACGGGGACTGCCTGTTTGGAACGATTGCGCACCAACGGAGGGGACTGCCAGGGACATCAGAGCCTGTCATGAAATTAAGCAAAGGATTAAAAAAGAAATCAACGCATACATCAGGGAAAACCTGGAAGATTTCTACCCACAATTGGTAGGAGACGTAGACGGATAGGTGGAGAGAACCAGCAGAGTTACGGAAATCGTAATCAAGAAGCACCGAGGCATTGAGGTGGAGATAATTGAAGGAAAAGCAAGAGTATACCCATGGCCCAAATCAAGATGAAAATAGGAAGACTAACAATCACAGGATGCCACATCCCCTCGGGCAAAAGAGGACAGGCGGAACTCAGAAATCGAAGTGAAACAACAGAAAAAAGTGCGGAAAGAACCTAGGTATCATACTAGGCGGCTTCAGTACGCAACTAGGCAGACTGGACGAAAGTGAAGAGGAGGAAGGGAACACAGCAGACATATGGGCAAAAACAGTAGGATCGGACCACAAAACGGTAAAGGGGAAAGTCAAGAGGGAGGGGGGAGAACAAAGGACAAGGAGCACAGCGGGGAAACCGAAGGGTGGGATGTGAAACTTCTGTCAGGGGAGAAGAAAAGAAAGGAGCACCGAAAGGAGCAGTAAGAGATTAGAAGCAAAAAGGGGGAAGGGATACCATATCGGAAAAGATCGGCGAAACGCTCAAAGAAACAACAAAGAATACACTAGGGAAACAGAAACGCCCATGTGACCGAACAGAAAGCGGGCCAAAACCCACACTAACCTGAAACAAAGAAGGAGCTAAGGGAAGCCAAGGAAGAAGAAAACGGAGCCTATGAGCAACACGAAATCAAGGAATTCGCCGTGTTCGCGGAGAACATCGCCAAACTCAGACCAATGAAGAGGAATATGCAAATGTAATGGTATAGGCACATCAAAAAATACAAAAGGAGGAAACAAGGGGGAAACAGAAAATAATATACCAATGACAGCGTGGGCGATGCTGGAAATACCCAAATTCCTAATCAACAGAACCATAAACGCGTGGCAAAGGGAGTATACTAGTATACAATGGTTTTGGAAGAAAACCGAACACCAAAGGAAAACCAGGGGGATCAAACAAGGATGTCCGTTTCCCCAAGGCTCTTCGCGATAGCACTTGACCATGCTATAGAACAAACAAGGACGGTGGTGAGGAACCTTAGCATAGGCGACCAATTACAACTACCGACATTACTGGCGTACGCGGACGATCTACTCGTAATCGCGGATAATTTATAAGACACTGAGGACTTCGTCCAGGCCATCGGGATACCAGGTACACCCGGAAATGGTGGACCTACAAATATACAACGAAAAGAGCTACATGATGACAAGAGTGCCAGCAAACAACACCCCCAGTACAAAGCAGGAGAGAAGACCATAATAGCCGAGAAGGAGATAACCATGAAGCACAAGATTAAATATCTGGGAACGTACATAAACAGCACCCTCAGCAGGCACAACGCAGTGTAAGACAAAATAACCAACGCATTCAGAAGCACACACGGAATCTGGAACTTCTTACGAGAGAAGAAAATACCGGGCAGCTGGAAAATGATGATTTACAACACGAACATAGCACCGACAATGTTATACGGAATTAACACTTCAGCGCTAACAAGGAGCAAAAGACGAACATTGAGGAGGGCGGAGTGGAAGGCACTCAGGATACTGAAGAAAACAGCAACCTCACAAGAAAGCAGAGAAGAGAACTACTAGAAAGAAAGACGATTACCAGGAGACTGAAGATGATTCAGATGAGATACTGGACATACCAACAAGAGGAACAAAGACCATATCATACGGGCTGCCAAGATTCTGTGTGCCTCGGAATGGAAGGTACGCCGACCCTGCCACACATGGAGCACCACCATAAACCAAACGGTAGAGATCTCGGGGATTACCATAGGAAGATGGGAAGAAAAGAGCAAAGACACACATCAAGGAAGAAAGAAAGCAGAAGAATACTGGAGGTGGAGGAAGAAGCCAAGGGGAGGAGGAAAAGGGGACAGAAAGTAACGCAGGGAGAGGACAACAATAAAAAGGGCCTAACACGAGGGAAAACCGGGAAGGGAACGAGACCAAAGGATAGGAACATCGGAAGCCAATGAACGCCCGGATAAGAAGCTATCACTAGAAAGCAGAGTTCCCTCTAAGGCAGAATACCAGTGGCGAAGCTGTGGCCGTACCCGTTCGGGTCGGATAACACCCAGTTAGCCGCCCCCCCCACAACCCCCCAATCCACAAAATCCACCACATTGTTTGGCATATGTCGCGGCCCAGCGCGATGGCAACAAAGTAGTGGAGAAACGTCCCTGATAGTGTCTACCAGGGACGCATCCTCACATCAGTTGACTAAATCCTGGGAGAGGCGGCGATGCCAGGCATATGTCAAAGTTTCAGGTTTCAATAAAGCCTAAGTATCTTTCTTTGGTATTAAAACCACCAAGGCGAAACACAGAAGAGAAGAAAAATGCAATTTTTCAAGAACAACAAGACTCCATTAAAACTTTCATCGGCCCTCCGATTGACTTTCGGACAACGTTGCCAAACTTCTCAGCATGGCTTGTAATTATAAACGGCTGTGATTTAACTAAAAAAATGAATAATGTGTCTCAAATCTCTCTTTTACATCTACCTAACATTCTGTGTATTTTACTAACTCTCGCCAATGCGGCGTTGTCACGTTCTACTAAAATACATAACAATTCTCCCAGACACAAATTTATCCAAATTACGGGTCGCGA